GTTTTTTAAGGAAGACTCTACGAAATATTCTCCTTAAATAAATAAACATTTAATTAAATTTTTTAAATTATTTTTTTATAAAAAAAAATTGGGTAAGAAAAAAAAAATTATAGGGTTAGCTGGGTTATTTATAAATAAATAATATTAATGATATCAAGTTATGAGAAGATAAAAAAATTTTTTTCACTTACTGAATAATCGAGTTAGATGAAGTCATTGGGAAATTATAATAAAAAAAAAATAATCATTTCGAAAGACAGGAATATTTATGGATATAAAAAAAAAAAAAATCTGAAACGTAAGGGGAAAACAAACATAAACCAGATGTTAAACAAGTTTGCATCTTGTATCGGATTCTCCATTTCTTCTGAACAAGTCCTGTTAAAGTTTAGCCTTATTCAATTCCGTCATCGGATTGGATTTTCGCAATTATTAGCCATTTTCGTATTTATACAATTTAGTTTAACTTTCGCTGGTGTTCGAAAAACAATGAATGCTACAAACCTATCAAACAATGCTTTTGAAGAAAGGGGCTAAGCCACGAATAGGGTTCAATTCCATTTATTTATTTAAAGTATCTTAATATAATCGATAGATTGTCCAATGCTAATTTGAAACTATTATTATTTTATTATATATTTAACTTCTATTCCTATAAATAATAATCACAATAACATTGTGAACATCAATTTCCAGATTTAGGCATAACTTAATTACAGTTACAAACAAATGCATCAATCAAATATGATCGACCGTTTTAAATCGAACATACACTTGGTACTTATTTTTTTTTTTTTTTTTTTGTATGTTTGTCGTAAAGAAAGGCAATATCTTTCTTCCGTTACATACGTTTCAAGGAATTTTCATGAGTGTTCGAACCCAACACTAACACGCAACCAAAAATTGTGTTTCTTCAGAATCTCATTAGTGTATTAATTAATATTCGCCGCCACCTCTATCCGCACCACCGCCACTACCGCCGGCACCACCACGACTGATATTTCCAAGTTGTTGTCTTCTCTGAGCGTCCAGTTTTGGACATTCGGCGATACGATGTCCGAGACCGCCACAAAATGTACAACCTGTGGAATTTTATTGTTATCAGCATCATGATATTTGATATAAAATGAGTAGATTTATAATCATACCTCCACACAAGTCTTTGAATTTTTCTGTTGGATCCTCCAAAACTTCTAGTACAGGGGGAACTCGTTGTTTGGCTTCCCTCAGTAAATGTTTCAAATCAAGTAAAATCTGCTCAGAACAATTCATATTAATAAATGTAGTGGCTACACCTGTCTTCCCCGAACGACCCGTACGACCAATTCTATGTACTAAATTATTATGTTAACGAAAAATAATATTAAAGATACTTTTTTTTTAACGCAAATACATACCATAATTTTCAATTTCCTTCGGCATATCATAGTTGATAACGTGTTGAATATCCGGAAAATCTAAACCTTTTGAAGCAACATCAGAAGCAACCAAAACATCTTTTTTGTATTCTTTAAATGCTCGTATTGCAAATTCACGTTCCTCTTGGCCTAAAATATATTATGGACGTATGAGATATTTTTTTTTAAAAAAAATTATTCCGTTAAATAGTTTTAAATGTCGTGTTACAAACTATATACATACTCTTGCCTCCGTGGATAGCTACAGCCTCAACTCCTTTTACCAATAGGTATTCATGAATATCGTCCACATCATTTTTATTCTCTGCAAAAATAAGTACCTAAAAAAAAGATGCCAATATAAATATCAATCTGTGATCTAAAATATATACTAATCACAAATAACTTGCAAATAGTTACAGGCGGTGGTGTCTTTTGTAAACATTCTAAGAGATACACAATCTTCGCTTCTTGCTTCACATATTCTACCTCTTGAATAACATCCAAATTTGCAGCGCCCGCACGACCAACATTGACAATCACAGGTTTGACTAACGCAGATCGTGCAAAATCTTGAATTTTCTTTGGCATAGTGGCTGAATATAGTAAGGTTTGGCGTTGACTCTAGTTTGAATTTATTAACTTAATTATCATAAATATTAAAAGACATGAAATTAAACAAAGATTGTAATAATCTTTTACCGTAAAGTAAGACATGATATTTCTAACATCATCCTCAAAACCCATGTCAATCATCCTATCAGCCTCGTCCAAACATAAAAATCTAGAATCACAAATTCATAATTAGAAAAACTCATCCATAAAATGGGACCCCCCATAGCAAAAGGGGATGCGCAGGTCAATCAGATTTCGAGATTTCATGATGAACATATATGCTAACAACCTAACCTTTCAGAGAATATTTATTTCCGATCGTAAAAAGGACGTGAGTTTTGGGAAAAAAAAAGTTGTTGCTTTCCATCGTAAAAAAAAAGGGGCACATTTCAATAAAGATTTAGCTACATTCTTACTAAATGGAAATTAAAACTGTTTTGAGAAATCTCCAGTGATCTTAAATAGTGATCACAAGGTTTAGATTGATTTTCTCGGCCATCCCCCTTTGCTTGCGAGAAGTCTCAAATATAACAAAGTTAAAGATTGAACGTACTTGCAAAGATCCAGATTAAATTTCTTCTTTTCTAACATGTCCATTAATCTTCCTGGAGTCGCAACCACAATATGTATTCCTTCTGCTAAGATATTCTGTTGATCCGACATAGATATACCACCGATACATAACAAAGGTCGCAACTTTGGATAATCATCCCTAACTAAAAAGTCAATCGTTGAGCAGATTCCTTCGTGAGTTTGTCTTGCCAATTCACGCTAATTTGATTAAATATAAAACTTTTTTGTAAATAACCCAAGGACCATTTTGTTTTAAAAATAAATAAATTATTTGTTTAATAATTGCTAACCGATGGACAAACAATCATTCCGATTGGACCTTCTCCTCTAATCAATGGTAATTTGCATTCTTCTTCCAAAGCAAACATCAACAATGGTAGAGAAAAAGCCAAGGTTTTACCAGATCCTGTAAATGCAATTCCAATCATGTCCCTTCCAGCCAATCTAAAAAGTAACAACAAGAAATTCAAAAACAATCAACACTTGGTACGAAATATAAAAGAGAAAACATATGAATAATCTCATTAAACTTTCTTACACAACAGGAAGACCTTGAACTTGAATAGGTGTGGGTCGATGAATTTTTTTAGATTTCAAATATTTCAACATAGCGGAAGGAAATTTCATATCCTAATGGGAAGTTAGTAATGATATGAGGTTAAAGTATATAGATGCGTATATCAAAGACGTACCCTAAAATGTTTTATTGGTGGAGGAACATCTTCACCTTCCACAAGGATATGATATCTTTGACGAATTGCATCATGTACAGATTGAGCCCTCTCACGAATGTGACGAGGTGGTTGCCAACTGAATAAGAATTAACCATTAATAGCAAGTTAACATAAATAAATAATTGATTCGAAATGCACTTACGTCGTCTTCATTGGTTCAGTATAAATAATTCCTTTCGCGAGTTCTCGATCTGACGCCAAAAGCTTTCGTTGAGCAACAGCTTCCATAATAGCTCTTTCCTCTTCGAGTTTCTTTTCGGAATCAGTTTTGAAAGAATCTAAAAAAAGAATAAAATTAGTTCAATCACAGCATCGATCAAAGACATTATAAAAAGAGATGAAAGGAACTTTTACCTTCTATCATTTTTTGCTTTTTAACCTCCACAGCCTGATCAATCAAACTAACGTTAGCTTTAGGACCAGCTTTAACCGATTCTTCAATTTCATCGTCAACTTCACTGTCTTTTTGCGAATCGGGAAGACGTCTTTGACTAGCAAGTTTTTGAAGCTTTACTTCTCTTCTTTGCTTAATTGGAACATAAGGAACATATTCGTCTTCTTCGAGATCTAAAACTTTTTTTCTCTTGAGTGAGTTGGTTTCTGTCATTTTCCAATTTTTGCAACTAAAATCATTACAATCTTTATTTTATTATAACCGAATTTTCCCAATTTTGGCCAAAATTATGCAGATCTTTCCAAGAACCCAACTTCTGGACTTCAACTAATTTTTTTTTATTTTAGTTATAATCTGAACAATATTATATTTCAGGTTATATTAATGTAATTTTTATTCTACCACATCAAAGAACATTTGAACCCGAAAACAAAACAAAAATCGAAGTTCATAGAACATACTTGAACTACTTACTAAAGTAGGCAAGTGATTTTTATAAATTGGTTTACCAATTGCGAAGTTAAAATAAACAAGATATATTTAGCAAAAGTAAAAATGTAAATTTATTTTGACAAATTTGTTTCACACAATATCAATTTGACAATTCCGGATATTTACTTACAGTAAAGACATTTTAGGATACATACGTGAAAAAAATTCAATATTTATTTATAACTTATTTAATTTGTATTGTTCAAAAATTTATTGGAGTATTATTCATTTTTCCCAAAAATTCATGAATGTTACCATGTTACGAAAAACTCTATTCTTAGTATTGTTTTACTTTCCGAAAATCATAAAAAATTCTTACGAAAAGTCGGTATGATCAATTGATACAATTTGAAAAAATTTAATCATGAAAAATTGTATATATATGAGAGCATTTAATTACTAACTCGCTTGTCTTCATGATAAAATTAAAATAAAATAAAAGATGCATACTACTACGTTCGAATTCAACTATTTCCTTTCAGCCACAATAATCAT